ACTGCTTGGGTTGCTTCCAAAGTCTCTGGAACAGGTTTGGGGCTCTGAGAGGAAGAACACCAGTGGAGACCAATGGAGCTTGCATCCCCAACACTGTTGGCTCTGGACAAAGGCATTTGTCCAAGTGCTGGGGTCACTACTGCTCCAGGAAACTGGCTCTGAAATTGGCATTTCAGCCAAAGAGAAACCTTCTTGGTCCTTGCTTCTCAGCACCATCAGACCCTGATTCCAAGCCTAGGGCAGGAGTATCTGAGTAGCAGTTTATAGTTCATTTGGTAAAGAATCCACCTGCAATGCAGGAGACCCATGTTCAATTACTGGGTTAAGGAGATCCTCTGGAGAAGGGATAGGCTACCCACTCCAGTACTCTTGGGCTTCCCCTGTGGCTCAGCTGGTAAAGAATCGACCGGCAATATGGGAAACCTGGGTTTGATCCCTGAGTTGGGAAGATCCCCTGAAGAAGGAAAAGCTACCTACGCCAGTATTCTGGCCTGGAGAATTCCATGGACTGTATAGTCCACGGGGTCACAAAGAGTCAGACACGACTGAGTGACTTTCACTTTCAGGTCACAGGCCTACATTCTAGCTACAAAGGATGCTATGGAAAATATCTAGCATCTGTAGCATCCACGGGTTTCCCAAGTGGCACACATGCTAAAGAATCTGCCTGCCGATGCAAGAGACATAAGAGATGGGTTCTATCCCTAGACTGGGAAGATTCCCTTGGAGGAGGGTACAGCACACCACTCAGGTATTCTCGCCTGGAGAAACCCATGAACAGAGGAACCTGGCAGGCTACAGTCCATAGGGCCACAAGAATCAGACATGACTGAAGCGACTTAGCACATTAGCATGTGAGCTTCTACACTGGGGGGTGGGTTTATAAAAAGGGTAGAGTGGATAGTGGATTCCCAAGTCTGTATTTGGAGACAGAAGGTGAGGGAAAAGGCAAGGGAGAGGGAAATAGAAAAAGAAGCAAAATCCAGAAACAAAAGGGAAGACGAAAGCTGATGGAGCACCGGCTGGGAGGGGTCGGGAAAGGCAGGAGGCACACACCTGGAAAGAACACCTCAGGGGGAAGGAAGGGTGAATCAGGGGGGCTCTCGGAAGATGGCCTCTCTCAGCTCAGAAGGATACAGTTATTGACACAGATGGGATGGCACTCTGAGGGGAGGGAGTGGCAGTGTCAGGGCCCCAGGATGCAGGACTCTGGAGGCAGGGAGCTGGGAAGTCCAGCTCAGCACCCCAAAGGAGGCCAGCCTGTGGGGCTTGCCACTCTGTGAGGCTGTCAGCCTTGGTCACTAGCAGGTTTTCATACCTGGAATCTGTATATTTGGGTAGCAAATCTCTATTATCTTTCTATGACCTGTCTGGAGTCTAGCATTGACCTCCCTTTCTATCAGCTCCCGCTCTCTCTTGTAGATGGACCCACTCAGGGCTGCCTTTCACTGAAGGTTCCTTCTACTAAAGCCCTCTCATGTCCTTCTGGGGACCCTGCTGTCCGGCCTCTGACGTCCCTTTGGTGTCTGTCTGTTTTCTACGCTCTTTCTTCTGTGAGTGCCACAGGCCAGCCCTAAAGTCTCCCTCTTGCTTCAGAAACCAGTTGCAGGTCCATATTTGCCACAGTTGTAGCTTTTAATCTCTGCTTGTTGGTCCTACTTCTATCTGTAAAACAAAACAACACTGTCTTCTACACAGGCAGTCCTTCAGTGCTCTGGGAACAGAGGATTCTCTACAGGAAAGGTTTACTGCCCCTGATAAAGAAATACAACTTTGTGGCTACTGCTTATGATTGTATTCAGTGTCTTAAGAGTTGCATCTTACTTATGGTCAACTAGGTCCCAGAAGGTTCTCCCCGCACATGCTGTCAAATTAGATCTTTCTCATCCTGTTTTTTTTTTTTTTAAACACAAAGACAAATATATGGATGAACATATGTTGTTCTGTCTGCCTACTGCTCCTCCCTCTGGGGAGCCAGCCCTTCCTTGTTCCCTGTGTCTCCTGGAGCTGTCAGTCTGAGCCTCCCACCCTATCCCCACTCATAGGCATGGAAACATGACCCATGCCTGGCCACTCATATCACCTCCTACCCCTGGCGACAGCCAAGAAGCTTTCTCTGTAACTGGAATACTAAGAAGTTGTCTGTTGCTGGTGGTCCTCAGCTAAGACAAGCTTGGACTACAAGTTGCACTTTCTCCAGCTGTGAAGAGGAAGTCCACTGTAGTGGAAGAAAAGGCCAGCCCCCAGAGGGAGGCTCAGAGACCAAGAGAGAGAAGTCAGTCCCGATGATATTGACTGGATTCGTGGGTCTAGGCTTGCCAGAGCCAATCAATACCCTTTCTGTTTAAGCTAGTTGAATCAGGTTTTTGTCACTTCCAAGTGGTAAGCCCTGAATGATAATACTTTAAAAAATTAGAATGAATGCGTGCACCTATCTGCACAATAGAGAAATGTAAAACAAAAAAATCATTCCTAACCCTATTTTTCAGTTATACAGAAAATGGTGTCATACCTTCTATACTGTGTGTGCGTGGTTGTGTGATTGTAAAATACAGTCACAAATTCCTCCATCCAGTATGCACACCACTTGGCAACTTAAGTTTGCATTTACTCCTCTCAGGGAGAGGTGGGGTTTCTTGCTCTCTGAATCTGCGCTAGCCTTGGGACTTATTTGAGCTTTAGCTTGCAGCAGGAGAGATGTATATGACCTTCAGAGGCCTTCCAACTTCTGCTATTAACCGCTTAGAAGAAAGGGCCAGGTAAAGAAGCTAGGATAACCTCCTGGAGGACAAGAATACAGGGAGGATATCAAGACAGCCCAGCCCACAGCCAGCCCCAGTGTCAGGCATGTGAGTAAAGCTGTGTTGAACCTTCCAGACCAGTTCTCCCTCCAGCTGAATGCAACTGTTTGAGTTTAAACCAGCAGAGTGAAACCAGCTTTGAAATGGCCTAGCTGACTTCCCTGGTGGCTCAGATGGTAAAGCATCTGCCTACAATGCAGGAGACCCGGATTCAATCCCTGGGTTGGGAGGATCTTCTGGAGAAGGAAATGGCAACCAACTCCAGTATTCCTGCCTGGGAAATCCCACGGATGGAGGAACCTGGTAGACTACAGTCCATGGGGTACCTAACAGTGGACACGACTGAGCCACTTCACTTCAACCCATAGAACTGTGAGAAGTAATACATCTTTGTTTTAAACCACAAGTTTTAGGGTGCTTAATTATGCAACCAAGGCTAACTGAAACAGATTGTGTTCTGAATTTTTGATGTAACCACACATCGGCATTTCTCCCACGTTATTAATATATTTATTAAGGTTCTTTTGTTTGCAGCCATGGGAAACCAGTTTAAAGAGAAATGCATTAGCAGGTTCCTGGGATATTTCAAGCTATAGAAGATAAAGTTGAGTAGGGGAGAAATCAGGGCCACCGTGTGGGTGTCAACAGCGGAGATCACAATCGTTTCTCCAGAAAACTGCCGTTAACATTAGCGTTAATGACTTCTGGACAACTACCTTCAAGTTCTCAGAACAGGTTGACTCGTCCCGCTTGGGCAGTGTCTACCTGTGGATCTTTTGGTTATGATGGGGAGCGGGGTAGGACGCGGAGGCAGAAGGGAGAACAGACGCGAGTCGGTGCAAATCCACTATGGAAGCCAGAACCTAGGCCTGCTTTTTAACTGCTAATGTTTTGACTTCCCCCAACTTCTCTTCTTTCAAATCTTTCTGTTACTAATGTATCCAGGCTCCTTTTCATAAAGGGGAAAAATCCGCACGGGACCGCTCTGGAAACTGTAACAATCAGCGCAACATTGTATACTTAGCACACCGCAACCAAGTCCGCCAAGGCTTTCGGCGCACCTGGGCCTCTGGGAGGGTGGCTTGGCAGTTTTAACCAATAGCTTCACAAAATGTTCGGGGTGTTCCACCGAAGGAGTTCCACCAAAGCACTGAAAGGAGTTAAAAGCCAGAGTAACAGGTATTGTGAACAGAGGACAGGAAGCAAGAGCCAACGCGCGCACTTGGGGTTGTTTCTGGGAAGCGCGACCCTGGCAAGTGTCGGGAGGAGAACACAACGTCGCGGGCTGGTGGGCGTCGGGGACCCCGGGCAGCGCCTCCCACAACAAGGTTCGTGGGCTCCTCGGGCGGGCGGGGACCTGGCGAGGGTGCTGGGCCAGCCGAGTCGCCCGCCACCCCACTCCCGACGCCGAAGTCGCCGCCCCCACCGAGGGGTGGGGGCCGGGGGCCGGGAGCGCGCGCGGGAGACGACTGCTCCCGGGACTGAGGCGGCGCCTTCCCCTACCGGCTGCTGCAGGAGCGACATCTTGCTCGGCAGGAAAGCGCTGGGAGAGCGGGCGGCTCTGGGCTGCTGCGCCACTGGCGCCGAGGACCCGCCGGAGGCGCGGGGCTGGAGGCACGAGAAGGAGGTAAGCGGGGCTGCCGCTCCTGCCCACACGTCCCGCTCCGAGGGCGCTCCGAAGACCCCGAGGCCGCCCCGCTCCCCGTGCCCAAGACCCCGAGGCAGCCCGGCTCCCCGCGCCCACGCCTGCCTCTTCCCCTCCCATCCGCGGGCTCCCGCGGCCTCTGGCTTCTGAGCTCGCGAGCCGCCCTCCCAGGTGGCCCCCGAGCTCGGCAGCCCCGGCCGCCCGGCCCTCCCTCGCCCCCTGGCCGCCCCCCCAGGTCTCCGCCCCCTCCCCAGGCGGGCCGCGCGCTCCCTCCGCCCCGCCCCACGCCCCGCCCAGCCGCCCCCGCTTCCCCCTCCCCCATCCCTCCCCCTCCCTTCCCCCACCCTCCCCCTCCCCCGCTCCCTCCCCCCTCCCCTCTCCCTCCCCTCCCACGCTCCGCCCCAGCCCGCCCCGTCCGGGCGGGGCGCTGGGTTTAAACGTCGCGGCGGGCCGGGCTGGCGGAGGGGTGTGGCGTGCCTCTGTGTCGTGTCGTGGGTTCCGTAGGCGACCGCGCGGCGCGGAAAGGCGGGCGTTCGGGGCCGGCGCGGGGCACCATGTCCCCGGGGAGCGGCGTGAAGAGCGAGTACATGAAGCGCTACCAGGAGCCGCGCTGGGACGAGTACGGGCCGTGCTACCGTGCGCTGCGCCACTACCGCCTGGGTCGCCGGCTGCTGGAGCAGGCGCACGCGCCCTGGCTCTGGGACGACTGGGGCCAGGCCGGCGCCTCGGACGACTCGGCGTCGTCGGCGTCGTCGGGCACCGGGGCCCCCGCGCCCCAGTGCGTCCCGGCCTCGCCGCCGCCGCCCGCGGAGCCTGAGGCGCGCGTAGGGCCGGAGGAGCGGGGCGTGGAGGCCGCGGGGGACGCGGAGACCAGGGACGCCGTGGACGCGGAGGACGCGGCGCCGCCAGGTACCGGGCCGGGGAGGGGGCTGCGAGGGGCCAGCTCGCGGGACTAGATTTGCTCTTGCGTCTCCTGAACCGCGCAGCCGTTTCTCGCAGCGAGGGCTCCCGGCGAGCTCTTGATTTTATTTAATCTATTTTTGGTAGGCGGAGAATACGCCACCCTAGACAAAATAAGGAAGGTGGCGGCCCCGCCCCCGCCGTCCCACCCTGTATTTCCGTAAAGTGTGTCTCTGGGTTGAGCCAGCTGTAAACGCCTTAGACGTGCCGCTGACGAAGTCCAGATTTTCACCAGGTAGCCTTGATGGCCTCTGGACCACTAAGCTCCCGTCTATTTATTTCTAAACGCTCATTTGTTTTATGAGAGGAGCCCAGCTTTCATCAGACCGCCAGAGGTTAGGAACTAACTAAGCGCATTGTCCTGTGATTGGGGCTGTTGTTTTCTGTGTTAACACCCTGACCTGACCGCGCTTTCCCTTAGGAATATTTTGTATTTGTTTCCGCAGACTATTGCATAAATCCCGGCTGCTGGGAGATAATCCTTCTAAATGCCGGGTGCTCTCGGCTGCTCGCTCGCCTCCTCTCCTCCAGCTGCTACTGTGAGCTTGAGGAGCGGCAGCTGGAAAATGGCTCTTGGGGGTGGTGCATTTGCTGCTCCCAGCGGGGCCCTGCACCTTCTCTGCTGCCGGAGGATCGCAGAGGCGGGCTCTCGGAGTGTGAGGCGGGCCGAGTGGCCGCTGGTGCTCAGGTACCAGTTGAATGAATGCCCCAGATACAGCCTGGAGGAACCCCGTGGGGTTCTATTCTACTCCAGCCTGGACCAGGCACCACCCGACGTCACTCAGTTTTAAAGAGATCCTAGTGAGCCAAATAACTAAAATGGCCTGAGAGCTTGTCATGCATCCAGTCACCGATCTTAAAGTATATATTTTCTTAGTCAACACTCAAAACAATTCTAAGAGGTAGGACCGTAGTTTTCACCTCGTTTACCTGGATTTTATAGACAAATAGAAGCTCAGAATCAATCATCGATGACTATTTTTGATTACCGCCTTGTCAGTGGTACTCTAATCAGACTTTTCTCAGGACTCTCATCCTCGTTTGTCTTTGAGATGCTGAGGAGAGGAAGTTGAGTCTTGTTATACTGTTCCCAGCTGTTCTCAGTTCATCATGTGGCAGGGCTGCCCCTCCATCCTCACATGTTACTTATAAATTCCCACTGATTCCTGACCTTTGCTAGAAGTTTGAACAACAGAAGATGGGGAGGGTATGGGGCACTGAGCTAGTAGCTCAATTATGAGATGCACTTTATCAGACTGAATGAGCTTTTCTCTCTCCTTGGTTCTTCCCCTTCATTGCTTATGAAAGAGCTGTCAGTTATTTCCAGATGTATATAAATGCAGTTTTTAGACAGCATTGTAGTATGGAGTATGGGGCTTGTGTTGTAAGAGTTCATGATTATTTTGGTTCCCTTAGAGACACTGAATCCTCCTAGGGGCTGGCTGAGGCAATTTCTTCTTTGCTAATATTTCTGGTTTAGGAATCTGGGAAGAAAAAATGTTTCTTCTTTCAGGACTCCCCATCCCAGGATCTTTTTGCTTTGCTCATGCGTATCACAGCCTCTGTTCATCCCTATGTCTGGCAAGATTGAAAGTCCTTGTGTTTAAGTGGACAGAATGAGGAGCACTCTTTTGAGTTTCTCTGAAACATAAACATTTAGTTCCTGTCTTTACTGAAGCCATATGTACATGTAGAATCATATGGTTATGCATGGCTTAGTACGGAGATACAGCAGCCCTCCTCCCCCATCCCAATTACCTATTCCCTAGGTGACCCCTTCCCAGTCCTCTGGTTTTCCTTGGTGTGTAAGTCTGCTTTTCCAACATGGCTTTTATTGAGATTGTTGATTTTTAATTGGATTTTTAGTACCATCTACTGGCTGTCATTCTTTCTGTGTGCATGCTCAGTTGCTCAGTGTCCGACTGTTTGCAGCTCAGTGGACCGTAATCCACCAAGCTTCTCAGTCTGTGGGGTTTCCCAGGCAGGAATACTGCAGTGGATTGCCATTTCCTCTTCCAAGGGATCTTCCTGACCCGGGGATCAAACCCAGGTCTGCACTGGCCGGTGCATTTGCTACCACTGAGCCACCTGGGAAGCCCTTCATTCCTTTTAGTGACCTCCTAACCCGTACACTGGTGCATCCTCACCTCTGGTGTAGTCGTCAGAGAATTAGATTCAGTTAGGGCTGTGGACGAGGTTGCTTAGAGTGGCCCCGAATTGTTTGCTGTGACTCCCTTTTCTTTCTGTTGCAATGCCACCAACGCATCAGGTTCACCGTCGCCCTCCCCATCTTAAGACATCCCTCCGGGGCCTCTGACCTACTTCCACCTAGCCTGCTCGCTGCTCTGGCAGCCTGCTGCCTTGTTGCCTCTTGGGAGGGCTCTTGGCCGCCACCCCAGGGACACTTGCCTTCCCTCTGTAGGACCCCCTATTGTGTGGCTCTCCTCTCATCTTCTTGCCTGGTTTATCCTCTCCTGGCAGAGATTATCTTCTAGGACCTTCCTGAGAAAGGGTGTGTGAGATGCTAAATTTTCTGAGATCTTGCATGTCAAAAGATTCTAGCCTCACAATTCAGCAAGTTTGTGAATAAGCATGACATTCTAGGTTGGAAGTTTTTGTCTCTACAAAATCTAGAGGCGGTGCTGTCTGGTACTGGGACTTGTGAAGTAGCTGTTACACTCCCGTGTTGTTCTCACTCTTAATTCCTCATAGATAACATGCTCCCTCCTCTGGAAGCTTCTCGGGTCTTCTCTTCGTCCTCTGTGTTCTGAACATTTTCTTCTGTCAAGGCCTGTTTTCCTCTAATGTGCTTCATGAGTCCTTGCAGTCAAACTCCTATCTTGTAATTCTGGGAAGTTTTCTTGAATTGTTTTCTTATTACTATTATTTTTTTCTCTTTTTTCTTTCTGAACTCCTTAGCTGGATGTTAGACTTCACAAACATATCTAATTTTCTACCCTGGCCTCCATTCCATCTGTCTTAAGAACCTATTGAATTGTTTTTCTGGGTTTTCCTTCCTTCTCTCCTTCTCTTTAATCCTGTTAAAAAAAATAGTATTCTGTTCTTGATTTGTATGTATAGTATCCTCGTCCTGCTGAGGACTAGGAATTTTTAGTTTTTGCATGTTTCTTTGGCACAGGTTTCCCCTCCCTCTCTCTGAATTTTTTTTTTAATGTAATTTGTAATCCTGTATTTCAAGTTAGTAGCTTTCCTCAAATGTCTAATGATTCTTGGCTTCTTGTTCTTATTTAAGAGATGGTACTAAAAAGCTGTTGGGAAGTCGCCTGTGTGTGGGGTGTGGGTGTGGGAATGCTTGTTCACTGTGAAGTGCCTTCTCTCTGTAGCCAACACGTTTTCAAGAGTGTCTAGAATGTCTCCAGTTCTTTTCTTCATATTTACATTTCTTTTTAAATTCAATTTTAGTTTTAAACCAGTTATGCATATGCATAATTTTTTAAAATATGCTTAAAATGAAAAAGTAATCCTGGTCTATTCACCATCCATGCCCCTTGCTCCCTGGAGTAACTCTTTACCTTTCTTTTCAGCACTGTGGCCAATGATTTTCTCATTCAGACTAATGTTGGCTTTTTTATTTTGAAAATTGTATATTGACTTCCCATAATGGAAGATGATTTAGTTTAAGATCTTAGCTTGGCCGTTCCTCAAACCCTCCCTTCCTCCCACCTAGATATACACAAGCACCTCTTTTATCCCACAGTATTAACTATATGACTATTTCATTTAAGTAGCATGATCATGGCTCTGTAAATGTTATTTGCAGATAATCCATACAGCACATTTTGATTATATTTTCTTTCTTATTTATGTTTTTCCCAGAGGTAATTATTGCTTTACTTTTTGCTTTTCTTTTTTCTTTTGTAATTTAGCCTGAAATAGTCTGGTGGGACTGTAAAGCTTGTTATATGCCAGGCACATTCGGTGTTCTATGTGTTGCACTATTTTCTTTGGGGAAATAATTTTGGGGAACCCTTGACTCTCTTGTTTTAATTTAGACTTTATGATGTCCAGGTCTGACACTGCTGTCAAGCTGGGACTTCTCTTCCTGTTTGCTGAGTATCCCTTTTGCTTACCTCCTTTATCTGATCCCTGTTCTAGAAGCCTCCAATATCCCTTCCTTTTGGTGGAGCACATCCTCTCTAAGTCCTGAGAAATGTTGAAAGGGAAGTAAAAATTTCATCACCTTGAAGTCTGAAAATGCCTTTATCCAAGGCTGGATTGCCATTTGGGCAAGATAGAGACTTCCTAGGTTAGACATTTCAGTATTTGAAGGTATTATATTGATTCCTAGGTTTTGGTCTTATTGTTGAGAAGTACCATGTCATTCTGACACTTTTTTGTATATGTGACCTTTTTCTTTTTTCAAGTTTTAGGACAGTTCCTTTATCCTAGGTATTCTAAAATACTGTGTCATTTTTCATTCATTGGGCTGATAACTTGGTGGGACTTTTTATTTAGTTTTTAAAAAAAACTTAGGCCACACCTCATGGCATGTGGGATATAGTTTCCCGACCAGGGATTGAACCCATACTCCCTGCATTGGGAGTGCAGAGATAACCACTGGACTGCCAGCGGAATCCCGTGGTGAGCCTTTTAAATCTAGAAACACTTCTTTCAGTTCAGTGATATTTTCTAGTACTGTTTAAAATAATTTCTGTTCTGGGGACTTCCTTTGCAGTCCAGTGGTTATGACTCAGTACTGCCATTGCAAGGAGTATGGGTTTGATCCCTGGTCAGGGAATTAAGATCCCACATGCCATGCAGAGAGGCCAAAAAAGACTTAAAAAACTTTTTAAAAATTTCTATTCATTTTTTTCTTGATAGTTATTTTTAGCTGGTTTGTATGCCTCCTGGAGCAAACCTCTAATATTTTTATTTAAGTTTTTTTTTTTTTTAGATTGGAACTTTGGTTTTGTTTTGAGAATGCTTCA